GAATGCTGCAGGATGCTGCTAATATTTGTGATTTTCTTGGACGTTTAGCTTTTTCATAAAGTACCATATGAAACCGACATCCGATTTTCGAGCTCTAAGGTTCGTTCGTTATATTTAGTTTAGAATCATCTACAAAGAAAGGCTAGACGGAAGTTTTTGCGGTATTTTAGGTAAAATGTTGAATCTGGATTTCGATTCTGTTGCCTATATCATATTTTACTCTAATTCACAAGATAGAAAGTCATAACAAAGATGAGTTTTAATCAAAATCCTTAGTGTCACTTGAAGCTAATAATTGGTGTTATAGAGACACACAAGGACAAGCCTCCAGATTATTTTGTTCGTTATTCACCATACAACTTAAATAAATTTCCAACATCTGTAAAGTTTGCACCAGTGGAAGTCTTGAGTTGAGGGCTTGTGCCAGATTTTCAATAGCCCTCAGGAATCCGGTGGTGAAAGAATAACATATGGTTCAGCTGTACCACCCTTTTGACGTCTAGCTGCCGCGCTACCCGAAGGAAGCAAGAAGAGCAAGATAGTTTCAGGTTGCACAAGTCCACAGATTACACAAGCAATCGGGATAAAGATATCCGGTTTAAATCGCGCACCTTCCTGTCAGTAAGTTTGCACGTTAACCGCTGAGTTACCCAGACCTATTTTGGTGTGGGAGAAATAACACATGCATTCCTTTTGACCTTGGCAAGATTTTGGTTCTATTTGTTGAATTGTGCCCTGACTAGGTTTAATTATTTCTCATAGTTTTATTAGTCATGGACCTGTTGCTAGTTAAACACCATATTTATAGTAGTCATTGATAAGCAATCTGAAATTAACCCTCCCAAAGACCCGCAGCATAATTTTCGTCAGTAGGAACTTGTTGGATAAAACCGTTAGCTGCTATGCATATTTAGGAAATGGTTCTTTCAAAAGGAGTGTCTGAAACTTATCCATCCCTGATGCGTAACAGACTACTGACGAAATGCGTGATTGCTCCACCCGTCTATTGCACTTTCAATCGGAGGGGCATACTAAGGGGAACTAAGCAGAATATAAACAGACCATGGCATACCCCTTAATACTTCACGGCTTTTCCCGTCATATATATTTTAACAACGTTAATGACTAGTAGTATGAAGAAAAATTGGGTTTAGGTAGTACATCTCTCCAAGTCATTGTTAATTAGGGAAAATGCCCTTATATGTGTTAACTTTATTTTTTGCTCCTATTATCTTTTATAATTATTATTAATGCAGCTGTTTCGGTGGGTTCCCTCAGGGCCTGCCGTGGTCAACGGTTAATTCGTTGACAAGTAACTAACCACAACTGTTGCATTGGTTTCGAGCAGCAACTAATTGCAGCGTTTTCGGATAATATCTGTGAAATTTTCATGCTTGTTCGAAGCCAGTTATAGACATTTCATCATTCAGGAAATTATTCTAATTGACGTAAAAAATTCTGGATCAATATAACGGAAAACACTGACCTATCAAATATGGTACTATAGGGCTGATGAGGAACATTGATTGATGGAACATTTAAAGGTAACAGTTCCATTCAACTTTGCTTCCAAGTGTATCCAAACAATAACCTAGAATTGGAACTGACTATACAAGCTAACATAATCTGGTTTGTAGGATCACAGCCACGGAGCTTCCAAAGTCACTCATTGGGTTCAAGGTCAAGTGCAGCGTTTAATCATAATTTAAAAAGACAACATCAAAGATTTTAATTGAAGGACGGACTCAAAGCCATCATTTTAATTAGGAAGCCATCTGAAATTAACCCTCCCAAAGACCCCCAGCATAATTTTCGTCAGTAGGAACTTGTTGGATAAAACCGTTAGCTGCTATGCATATTTAGGAAATGGTTCTTTCAAAAGGAGTGTCTGAAACTTATCCATCCCTGATGCGTAACAAACTACTGACGAAATGCGTGATTGCTCCACCCGTCTATTGCACTTTCAATCGGAGGGGCATACTAAGGGGAACTAAGCAGAATATAAACAGACCATGGCATACCCCTTAATACTTCACGGCTTTTCCCGTCATATATATTTTAACAACGTTAATGACTAGTAGTATGAAGAAAAATTGGGTTTAGGTAGTACATCTCTCCAAGTCATTGTTAATTAGGGAAAATGCCCTTATATGTGTTAACTTTATTTTTTGCTCCTATTATCTTTTATAATTATTATTAATGCAGCTGTTTCGGTGGGTTCCCTCAGGGCCTGCCGTGGTCAACGGTTAATTCGTTGACAAGTAACTAACCACAACTGTTGCATTGGTTTCGAGCAGCAACTAATTGCAGCGTTTTCGGATAATATCTGTGAAATTTTCATGCTCGTTTGAAGCCAGGTATAGATATTTCATCATTTAGGAAATTATTCTAACTGACGTAAAACATTCTGGATCAAAATAACGGAAAACACTGACCTATCAAATATGGCACTATAGGGATGATGAAGAACATTGATTGATGGAACATTTAAAGGTAACAGTTCCATTCAACTTTGCTTCCAAGTGTATCCAAACAATAACCTAGAATTGGAACTGACTATACAAGCTAACATAATCTGGTTTGTAGGATCACAGCCACGGAGCTTCCAAAGTCACTCATTGGGTTCAAGGTCAAGTGCAGCGTTTAATCATAATTTAAAAAGACAACATCAAAGATTTTAATTGAAGGACGGACTCAAAGCCATCATTTTAAGGATCCCAATAATTTGTTACCTAGGCAAACTGTAAGAGGCGTTGAAAATTGTGCTGCGTCTTTGCTAGAAAGACGTCGTGTTTTTTGCAGTAATTTTGCAGCCTCACATCAATGCCGGTTTAAAAATTATCCCAATGCTACGCAAAACAACCAAATTAAGAGCATTCGATAGTTTCAAATTAGAAAATTCAGACTTGGCGTCTTTTGTTACTTAGTGGCGTTTGAACTTCAGAGGAACACAAGAAATGTTTTACGGCCAGGGTGCGGAAGAAACCACGGAGAAAATCAGGAGGCTTGGATCAGGTCCAAACTACAAACTACATTCCGGTAACTCAAGCACTTAGTCATTTCGAGCTTGGTATCCAGTTAGCTACGAGTTCAGGTTTGGGTGTGATTGAATAATAAATTGTGGAATCGGCAAGCTACCACGGCAACAGTGAACCAAGTATGGGTGGTGGTTACTTGGCACTAAACTCATGATGTGTAGTACAAGTCAGTTGCCTACCAACTTGTTTTAAAATTAAAACCTAATTGGTGTTTCTATCTAAGGGAATACTTCCCTTCTCGAAATCAGAGGGACATAATGAGGACTCAGAATTCGTCCAAGTGGTTACTAGTAGATACACCGACAGTTACCACCAACGAACGCGCTTGGATTCCGATCCCATTCGGCTTGATATTTTGTTGGCAATTCTTTGTATCATGTAGTATATCACGTACATGGAGGTGCCTGTGAGAATTCGAAAATATAATATATATTTGTCTCTAAAAGTTCTGGATCAAAAATCATCTCTTTGAATGTCTACATCCATTTGATTTTCAATCTGACACACGACCAGCAAATAAGGTTTATTCCTTATTTGATGGCACCACGGGGTAACTTATTTGGTGGTTGGTTCTGCATATCTGTATGTACAATCCCTTCTGATTTTTCCTCTTGGATAGTTTTCAGCTGAGCTGAACAAAGTTTCCATATAAACAATTAAAAGGATGTTTGGACACGGAAAGACGAAAATCAATGGGGTATATTGGTAATCTGTAATTGCAAATGTCCTCAGATGCTGCCGATCCTTGTAAAAAGTTATCGTTTGACTACTTTTTGAGACTGCAGTGTGAAATAGAGGTGTACAGATATTTACAGTTACTACGTTTCCCCATGCCACAAGAGCATCAAACTCAAGTGAATCAGCGCTTCAACTATGTTTATTCAATGGGATACTGCATTATAAGGTACTTATCTTACTTTTATTCTGTCACTTTTTTTGTGAAAACCAGAGATTTGTTCATT